AAGACAGAATTTGTGATATTAGAAGTATATATATAGAAGGGTAATGTGAGACAGAATGGGATAATACCGTGTATGAATTGAGCAAATTCATCGTAGCCATTCTTCTTTAAAAGATTGTGCACCTCGCTGCATGACAAGGATTTTGGTTGAAGTAACCTTCTGAGTCTGACAAGTTCCCCATACGGTGCCAATCCTAAATCGATCAGCTCTTTCCACTGCAATTGAACTAAAGCATCGCCACCGATTTGATTTTCTATACGCAAAATTTTAATTCACTGATTTTCCGTACAAAATGGGTTGGATAGTAGGCGGAAAGAACAGCTTAGAAATGTCCATAGGCGCACCTTTGATAATACTGGCCCAACTCTTAAAGCCATTTTGTTCGGCAAAGTCCGCCAGTAGATCAAAAGACCAGGAAGAATGAGACGACATCTGCCAACTGACAACAGAGGCATCCACCGAAGGGAAAGCGGGCGGAGAAGAAAAACCGAGTGCCTGGAGGGCAGGAAACAGATTTGTGTTGTTGGAGGAGTGGATGCAATCTACCTAGATATAGTGTGGGATCGAATGAGACAGCAGAGATGCTTGCATTCCAAAGCACGGTCAGTCCTCAGATGATATACAAATGATTGCTACAGGAGGGATCACTGCTGCGACACCGCCTAAAATATTTTAAATATTCCCTCGCCAAAACCTAACCCTCCTAACTCCGCGCCACAGCCACCTCGACACCGTATTTGAGATATATACAGCAGCCTAAAAAGTATTTAAAATGAAACTATATGACTCTGTCTTCAAACCCGACCAGTTCAAGAACCAGGTTGCTCTCATCACCGGAGGTGGCACTGGCATCGGCAGATGTGTTGCGCACGAATTGGCCTCGTAGGTTCATTCCTCCACATTAAAGCTTTGTTTTGAGGTCTAATTTCCTTTTCTGTTATTCGCATGCTCCAGTTTAGGCGGAATCGTCGTCATTGCTGGACGTAGAAAAGATGTTTTAGAAAAAACAGTCCAAGAAATTTCACAAACCGGTGGAAAAGTCGTATCTGACGTTTCTACCTATGTCGTCGGGTTCGCTGGGTGATAACATTTCTGAAACGATAGGCTTTTTCGCATACAGTAAATATTCGCTCGGAGGAAAGCGTCAAGGCTCTTATTTCATACATCATCCACACATTTGGCCGCCTAGATTTATTGGTGAATAATGCTGGGGGTCAGGTATGTTTTCTACAGTTACATTTCCAATTTGTTCCCCGCTAAATCAATCGAGTAATGTCACTATCTAGTTTTTATCTCCGGCGAGTGAAATTAGCGTGAAAGGTTTCAAGACAGTGTTAGAACTGAATGTCGTTGGCACCTTCGCGGTCACGAAAACTGCCTTCGATTTGTGGATGAAGAATCATGGTGGAAAAATAGTAAATGTGATCGCTGATGTGCGAAACGGGTTTCCTTTAATGGCAACAAATATTTTACTTCTCAAGATTGCGCTTCCTGTATCAATCTTACGTTTATCTAACAGGTCCACACGGGCGCTGCTCGCAAAGCAGTCGACAATCTCACTAAGACCCTTTGTCAGGAATGGTCTCAGTACGGGATCAGAATCAACTCAGTCGCACCTGGGACCATCATTTCAAGTGGCATGTCCAATTATCCGCCGCCAGTTCAACAATCTGTCGCGAACGATTTTCACTACCAAAATCCGACGGGTAGATTGGGAACTGAATCAGAGGTTTCTAGTGCGATTGTATGGTTACTAAGTGATGGTAGCAGTTATGTAAATGGAACCACGCTTAAAGTAGATGGTGGGAGCAGCTTGAGCAAAGGAATGTTTTTACCATTTGAAGAACATGGCAAGTTGAAAGTCTACCTTGGCTACAAGGCCGCAGACGAATATGGAAGAGACATTCCTAAGCCTTTTCAGGAATTGTTACAACGGTATAGAGATTACTCAGAAGATCCCGAAACAATGAAATCTAAATTGTAGCTTTCCAATTCCTGTCTCGGTGCCATTGGCTATCGGCCTTCGATGATTGTTGAAAGCATTTTAATAAGCAAATCTGTGCTTACTATTCGTGAACATTGCACTTTCAAAAGGCTGCATTTCAGAGGGTCTTACAAATTATTAAACAGCATGAGGTGAATCCGTTTTTTGCGCGGCAAAGGAGCAACTTCATTGATAAAATTGACTTCAGTGGGCTCAAGTACGATATAAAATTCAGGACACTATTTTTTGCGAATAGACCCACTGAGCTATGGTATAAACATGATTTAATAGTGAGCAATTTAGTGGACCCCCATTGGCGACAGGCATCAGTTGTTTTGTTGAGAACGGAACACGCTCTTCCATTGTCTATCCTAATCTCAGCTTCGGAACCGTCCTGTTTCCTTTCCCTTGGCTATATTTCCTCTTGTTCTTTATCGTCCTTATGCCACCGAAAAAACGATCCACCTCAAGTGAGACCTCCTCGCCTTTGAAGAGGAAGAAAGCTAGGTAATTCAGACCGTAGACCGCTCATAACCGATCTACCTCCTAACGAGTGTTATTTATTGCCGACGCATTTATCACAAATAGTCGAACACAGGAAAAATCAAGCCTCAAACCAAAACAGAAGGCTAAATCTAAAAGGATCGAGACGGTTAAGTCTGACAATGGCACAATCACTCCGAACTCACACCCTGAGGATGGCGACGTATTCTGTGACGAGTTAGAGTACAGTACTTTCGAACATTTTATTGAGGCTGGTCGGTAGCATCTGGCTCTTTTTTTGCAAAGCAGACAACTTATTTGTGATCACACTGGCAGAAAAACAGAAAACACCGGAGAAACCGCTGAAATCGCCATCGCCTAAGAAAGCAGGGCCAACCTTGATCGCTGTGCCCTTTTCTATCGGGATGGAAAATTCAAGTGATATCGAGTCTCAAAATCTGGAAAAATCAAGGTATCTTACGCAAATTGCCGTGTTTTAAGTCAGTCGTTCTCATTTGTCAAATCACAGGGTTATAGAAAACCGAACCAAGAGCATCAAGAACCGATCTTTAGAATCGAGTGATGACGACGATGAGAAGGACGACGAAGAGTAAGTTCGGTTACAATGTGAATTCGCGGAACACACATTTCGATATCTAAATTCTCTCCCCGTATAGAATAGCAGAAGGTACATTAGGCTTGGCAGAATGGCCCCTCGACAATTACTACTATCCGGCCAAAGTTTTGCAAGTACGACCAAGCGGCAAACTTCGAAGTTTGTATCATGAGTTTTTGCAGCCTTTTGCAGCGTTCTAACGCTAGGTCAATAAGTTAAATACCACGACGATCATACGAAGATAGTACGCCGAGATCAATTCCTAACGACATTGGACGACCGGTTTAGAACCGCCGAACTAGCCCCTTCTTTGATTCTCTCGGATGCGAATGTGGACGAAGGCTACGTTGATGAACGAATCGGGCAGCAAATAGCCCACCTGATACCAAGCCTCAACCGAATAGTTAAAGGCGAAGTGACTTCTCCTCAAACTGAAATTTTCGCTGGTGGGGGACCCGATGTCCGTATGAAATTGGCCAATAATCTAACGACCGGAAACTTCTCCTGGCAGCAATATGAATTCATCAATCGTGCATTGAGCTCATGGTATCTCTCTTCAAAGGCGACGGAAGAAATTTTAGATGCAATCAACATGTCTTCTTACGGATTCCATCAAAAAGGCAGTCGCTTCCGCAACTTCATCCAAGATGTTCTTGTCTACGAGACAATTGTCCGACTGATTATAATGGATGAAGTATTGATCCCTTCCCCACTATCCCCACCCCCTACGCAGCCCACATCTCCTGGAAATAAGCATTCTTCAATATCTCATGCTCCACAAAATCGAAGGTCAAAAATATCCAAATCATCTCCAGACCAAAAAAAGCGGCCCGCCTCGGTCAAATCAAAAAATAGCTACTGTGATTCTGGCACATCAGAATATCCCTTTCCTCCACTTAATGATATCGAAAATCCTATTCTACTGGAACAAGCACGGCAGACCATGCTGCAGACAAATGCATCTGAGAGAAAAGTGTGGGCAGAAGTTGTAATTGGTCGCTACTTCGAAGTTTCAGGTCGAAGGGCCGTTAGTAAGGAAAGCAGGGGAGAGCAAGACGATGCTGTGGAAAGCTCTTGAAGTCGGTGGAAATGATTTGATATGTCGGCCGATGACTTTTGAGGAAATCTTAAACGTTGCGGTTGAAGAACTTATTAGAAATTGTAAGACCCCGACAGTGTACATTTGGAACTGTAACGTCCAAGTTATGTGCTTCAGCGAAACCGACATAAATCGGACTCTCCTATGTTTTAATATACTAGCCAAACTTTTATGATATTAAGTATCACGAATTCACGGTTCGTCTACAACCACATTATGCGCATTTCGGCTTCCGTCCTGAGCGCATGGCTTCTTGTGAATTCCGATTACGAATATTCAAGTCCTATGAACTTAATGCACTAAGTCGTGCAGGAGAGCAGCTGCTTTCTTGGCTCAGTTGGCAGAGCATCCGCCTAGTAAGCGGAAGGTCGTGAGTTCGATTCTCACAGAAAGCATACACTGAATCTATTTTGGACGTCAACACTATGGTACTCTCCAGCTGTCTCCTACTATTTTAAGTTCTTTGCATACAATGCATACAAAAGGCTAGAAGTGATAACGAATGTTCCGCGAACAGTAAAAATTATTTTTGGTTATTTTCAGTTGCGCAAATTGAAATATTCAGACTAGATCCCCATTACAGTTAGCACAACAGTAGCACTCGAGCAAGTGATACATTAGCATCATTCTTGGGACTTGTTGGTAGTGAGATAGTTATGTGACGCCTGGCTGGAATGGGTCTATTGCTGTTCCCAAAATATTGCTGATATTTAATGGCTGAAGAAATTAATAATCCCATATCCCTCAGGTGATGTGAGTAGCATACAAGAAGACAAAAGGGCAGATATCAAGAAACGAAAAAAAAAAAAAAAGCAAAAGGGCTCAACCGGGGATTGAACCCGGGACCTCTCGCACCCAAAGCGAGAATCATACCGCTAGACCATTGAGCCGATATATTCCAAGGGGCCATTTAAGTTTATATACATGTAAGTTTTGTTGAATTGACAACTTTTTCGTCTGTATCAATCCAATCTCAATGCATATTTGTAATAATCGATACTTAAAATAACTGAAATTTTTTTAGTTACAAACTATTGACTTGAAGAATCAATGAGAGTAGTAGGGAGAAGTTTTGACTCTAGAATTTATTGGATTACTCGAGTTTGCTGTCCCTTGCAACAAAAGTCCTGCCGACACAAGGCTGCAGATCCTCCGTATTTTTATATTGAATTTCATCTAAAAATACTTCAATACCAGACATACTAGAAAAATTAGAAACCAGAAACTTCGGCCCTTGAAACACATAATACTTAAAATTGTCATAAATGACAGCTGTCATGTAATTGGTAATAAGAACCAGTGAAATCGGTTTATACTTCATTCCCATTTTGATGGGCCCTAACGCTTGTTTTCTATAAAAGACACCCGAGGATCAGCAAAATATATTGAAAATTTGTGAGAATTAGATGTCCAAAAATCACTGATGACCGCTTACAAGCAAAAAGGGTGTCTCGAGCGCCCATGCACTTATATTCCGGCTCTTATCTGTTCACCCCAAAGGCTTCGTCCGTGAATAAAATTCTTCGCCATGTGACTTTCTTCCTCTTATTTTATGTTTGCCGTTTTCCGTGACATCCAGGAGATATGCTCGAGAAAAATGTGTCTCCTAGACGTACTGGGAATAAATGAAGGTCCCACCTTGTAAATCCTTAATATGTGACCGGAATGTCTGTGCACAAGACATCCTGTGGACCTCCTGGTGACATCGCAATCCTGACATCCAGGACATATATGGGCATCAGGATATCTCTGGGATATCTTGGAGCAAGATGCTCTATAACATACACAACCAGAATCCAGGGACATTCTGGGGACATCCTCAAGAGAAATATATCTCCGGGATGTCCTGGCAGGATATCCCCGAGACATCTCCTTAAGATATGGCCGGATGTCTCAGTACAGGATATCCTGGACATCTTGCGCGCGATGTCCCGGGGACGGACATATTTTGCACTACGATGTCTCCAGGAGGTCCTCGTCAAGGTATATCCTGGTGACATCGCGCGCAAGATATGTCCCCAGGATATTTTGGAACAAGATGTCTCTATGACAGAGTCAGAAAAGTCGTCCTCGCGAGGTCTCGCAAGACATCGCCATGACATCTCAGCATCACAATGTCCTAATGAGGCTAGAGAGTGAAGTCCTCCACAAAATCGGATATCTTGGTAATCCTGATAACAGATGTCCATATAGAACCGTAAATAAGTTACGAGACATTCCAAAAAAAAAATTATCCCACGAGATGTCCTAGAGGCATCAATCATGGGTGTGTATGTATGTAAAGGTGAGTGCCCTGCATATCCGTGGGTCTCTTGCCCTGAATGGGTCTCTAGAAGCAAGCAAACGAGACTGAACAATCCATGCTGACACAATTTTCTAAGAATAGGTGTAGGATGAGTAGACCAATTTTGTGTCGATGTCAAAATCACTTGCGGTACCAATTATGATAGTGCTGAAGCCATCACACCTTTGTAGCAAATATAATTTTCTGTTACGTAATAAGACAATTTTCGAAGAAATGGCGCTGTCATTTACTTGGCAGTAATTGAGGGAGTAATCGCCTCTATTTTTTAATGTCCGCAGAGAATGCATATTTTTTGTGTGTACCATTTACTCTCTTTCTATTATTGAACTATGATATTAATCAGCGAGTCAAATGTTTTCGCGAAGAATCACTGAGTGGAGTGGGGTAAGATTTTCAGTACGACAATGTTGTGGTAATGAAATATAAAGTGGAGAGTTAGTGTAAATTCTACTGGTGCTATTCCCTCTTTGCGTTGAGCTATTTCAGCAAGATGTCGCAATGGCTTCCGCGACCGAGATGTCTTAGAGACTCCAATGGTAATATCCGACAGATCATCGATGCATTCGCAATCTTTTCTATTCATTGAAAAGCGTCTGCTTATTCCTTTCCCCATGATGAAAATATCTCATGGGTCCCGAAGTCAAGAAGAGAATAGAAACAATCAACTAGCCTGCAGTGGAATGACGGTTTTGTCGATATTGAAGATAGAGTGGTGGGTCATCTCAACGAACTTTGGAAACATTTTCCCATCGTTCCAATTAAATAATTCACTCACATCTCGATTATACCATTATGATAATGAAAACACAGGAATTCTTCATTCAGATTTGTGATTGCTTGTGCGAATGTGGAACCATTCTAATTCATATTATCAATGTTGTCATCCAAAATTATTAAGAGTAGTGGAGAGAATTCGACTCAACAGTTTATTGAGTACTCTCGGAAAAATGGATTTTTGGGAGGTTAGGGGATATGAGTTTATTCCCAATATGCGACATATCGAAGAGTTAGGTCACTCGTTTCGAATACAATAGGTTGTATTTTGAATACATCATGATTAATAGGAATAATAATCATAAAAAATTATTAGATATATCTCGTGGTTTTATGATGGTGCTTCCATTCCTTCCTAATACCAAACAAAAAATAATGAAATAGTAAACACACGTTACGAATATCAAATACCGAAAAATGCCACACTAGAAACTATAACACATGCTCACAACATCAAAGATAACAATTGAAAAACATTTTTAGTAACATGAACTAATACCTTTACAACAGACAACCGTGTCACAAGGAGGATTTGTTAGGGGATATAAAATCTTATTTAAAAACTTTATTAATGCAGGCGTAGGCTTCAATACAAAATTGATAAAATTCTTCGTTAAAATATAAACAATTTAAAAATATGAATCTATCAAATAAAATCTCTTATCCATCACATAATCAAAAGAAAATTACCTTCAACACAAAATAGATAAAATTCGTACTGAAGGTATCCTTCCATGGAATACTTATACCACTGTCCATCACGTTAATGTGCACCAACTTAATTACTACCGATCAACTCCTTTTAGGCATGTCTACCAAATACATTAATTACTCTTGCAATCCTCCTGAAAATATTCCATCTTTCTCGAAACAATTAAACATCTCTATAGATTCTAGAGTCGTGATTCTGTTGGTACATCAAAATGGACTGGCCAGGACTCGAACCTGGGCCTCCCTTATAGCGCTTGGGTGTTCTACCACTGAACTACCTGCCCTGGAGTGTGGATTGCCATATCTTCCAACAGGTGGAGATTCTAGTCTCTGAGTATCAAATGAGGACATTTGATTTTAAAGCAACCCCCTTTTGTCGTGAGGAAACGGTAACATACTGTATCATTTCTCAAAACTAGAATCTCGGTTTTTGTCGAGAAGGAATGTGATTGTTTTGGTTCATGTTACTAAATTTATATTCTATTGTTATGTTTGATGTTGTTTAGCATATGCTGACATGGACGTTATATTCAAGAGATTACAACAGTCATCTCTGGTAAAATTTCGAGTTCAACTCCAGAGGAGACTAAGTCACCTTCATTTCATGCTGGATGCCTTGCTGATATTATTAAAAATTATGAGGTGTATCTGGCACCTTTATCAGATCGCAAGCAAATATTTTTACATTCTGTGGCGTTTGAACCTTCGCCATATGAGTCGAGAGTTAGGTTAGATAGATTCACAAATTAATCCTTGTAATGGCAGATCAACTTTTCTAATTCTTCTTCTATTCAGTTTTTTTTTTTTTGGCAATAACGGAAACCTCATCTCGCAACTTCACACCTTACAAATGATGACTGCTTTACATACATTTGTACAACCGATTTCGATACACAATCTCATACTTTACAGCGGATTCGGTTCAATGCAATTATACTTCGAAGCTCGTCCCCAACAATTATATAAATCACTCACATCTCGTGGCTCGTATAATCACCATTAATCTGCTCATTCTCCTTTATTCCCCCTGGTCTCGTGACCAGGCTTGCAACGATCAAGACTCCCTGACAGCCTCTTCCTCTCTATCTTCTTTTCTCCTGGCTCCCGTCTTAAACGTTAAATAGTCCTGTCATTTGGCGCAGAGGATCAATCCGCCATTGTCGGAAGGATGGAATGTTTGGGGGATCGTTTCCTTCCGGGGGATATGGGTTTATTCCCAAGATATATCGAAGAGTGAAGTTACTCGTTTCGGATATAATACGGGGTATTCTTCAATACATGATGATTAATAAAATCATAGTTATAAAAGTTATATTTCGTTCGTGATTCCTCAAATCTCTCCTTTCCTTCCCTATAAATACCAAACTCCATACAAAATAATGAAATACTAAACAATAACCTAACCTAACCAAATAAATATCCTCATATACCTACCGGTTTTCTAATTAACCTGCTCATTCACCTTTATTCATCAGCGATCATCCGACGTGTTGTTGCCAAAGTATCAGCATCTCATCGGTGTCGGAAAGAAGGATATGGGTTTATTTCCCATAGGCGATATATCGAAGAGTGAAGTTACTCGTTTCGGATATAATAGGTTGTATTTTTCAATACATAGTGATTAATATAAAATCATAGTCATAGAAGTTTGTAAGTTATATTTCGTAGATTCCTTTGATTCCTTCCTTTCCTTCCCTATAAATACCAGACTTCCTACAAAATAATGATATACTAAACACATAACCTAACCTTGTTCTGGGATAATGTCGTCGTCCATGTCAGTCGCAATCAAAATGCCTCAAGTGATGCAGTAATTTGGTATCCCTACAATCTTGTGAAAAACAATCACATTCCTTCTCGACAAAACAACCAAGATTCTAGTATTGAGAAATGACACAGTATGTTATCGTTTCCTCACGACAATGCGTCCTTATTTACCTGATATGTCTCGGGGAGGTCGCGAGGGATACTTAAAAAATATCGTGGGTAAGATGTCACGTGAGTATGTCCCGGTATATATGCTGCAAACCACCGCGCCACGAGGATATCTTCACCACGTCCTGAGGGGAGTTCTCGAAGATATACCCCAAGACGTCCTGAGGATACTAAGTGTATGGTTTATTTTGGGTAAAAACATCTATTTTTTGAATTTTCTTGTGTAATAAAGTATTTTTATCACCCAGTCAAAGACACTACCGATGAGCATAGTAAATAAAAATCGTTTCTCGTATTTCCAAAATATTCTGCTTTTTGGATAACTCGTAAGTTAATGCGACGAAACATCTATGTCCAATCACTGCCTTTAAAACTGTAATGACCAGAACTTTTTTAAGATGAACCACACAGGCGGACACATGAAATATAGCAACTACAAGCATTGCGTGCCCTTAATATATGAGGTAAAGCAACAGAGAATACATTTGATATCATGTTTATCGAAACCAACCTATTTCTTTACACCAAACAACGAGGTTCTGGCTTCGAGAGCAACAAAGCAAGGTGCCCTAACGACGAAATGAGGAAATCGGTAAGAATGTCCAAAAAAAATTGTATTCAAGACGGATTCGTATGATTTTCCGACAAGAGTAAATCGTGTACTCATTCAAATCTATATTTATGTTTCAGTTTATACTTTGCCAAAGTGTTCTTAAATTTCTGCTACGCAGCATGCTACTATCTTTCCTTCCGACTCGGATTGAAATATTTGTAACAAACTTATGACTAGGTTACAACGAAACCACCAGAAAATGCTCTTCAGTAGTGTGGGCTTCATATTAGTATGTTATAGACCCTACCTTCTCGCAGACAGGTTTCCCTGAAAATTTGCGGAACGTAAATAAATTATTTTTGACATCCGAAGATTGTGCTCCAAACTGTTTAAACCACAAAAAAAAAAGCGTGGCCATAACAAAGTTCGCCGGACTATGTCGGCTCAATGGTCTAGCGGTATGATTCTCGCTTTGGGCAATCTGAACTTGCGAGAGGTCCCGGGTTCAATCCCCGGTTGAGCCCTTTAACTCCTTTTCGCTCCTGCTGCTGACTTCTCTGAACCCGGCAGGTTGGAGGAGTATACAGTGAGGCCAGATGCACACTTTTAAAATGCACTTTAAGTGCCATTCAGGCCAATCCTATGAAGTTTCATTGGGGCCCCCGCTAACATATTTTGAGCGGATTCTATTTTAGCGGAAGTAAGTGTGACGTTGACAAATTTAGATTTTGAGGTCATTTAATTACTTATGAAGCCTTGGCTTTTGCAACTGTGATTCTTTTGATTGAGTATCAACATTCAGGATTAGCAGCTACACAAAGTAGCGAACACCCATTCTACATGGCATCTTTAATTTTAATAAAATTCTGTTATTCGTCATTTCTTTAAACACTTCAGACTGATATGGGGACTATTAGCATGCCCCCATAGAAGCTACCATATTTACGCGTTACTTTCAAGAGTGCCGAATAGAGTGAGCCGGCGAGGGCGTTATTCAATTCTGCTTGCAATGGATAGATAATGATAATTTTTGTCGGCAACAATTATCCGACGCTCCAAGAATTGAACATCGCATGCCCGCAGTGAATTCTATTTATATACTGACTTAAACTCCACAAAAGTCTATTACAATGCATGCCTTCCTAATATAAAACAATAATCCATTTCTCAAATAATATACATAATAATAGAGGCAGCACTTTCAAATTTCAATTCGACTGAACTAATCATTGAAACAGCTCAAGTACGGCTGTTATAAATACGGACTTTGAGCCTAATTTGACGGCTTGAATCGCAAATGCGCCTCGTAAAAAGCTATCATCTTTCAGTCGCCAGATGACGAGAATCAATGAAATGAGCAAAACCGTTATTGCGTCGACGGGTTAAATCAATGGCAGGGAGTGAAAAGCAAGACAATTAGGAAATCAAATTTTGAACTCACTTTTTGAGGACATCTCACGTTGCATTCAGGTCTTGGGTGGGTGGACTGTCTGCCGTTTTTCCTGTAATGTTGCAAGCAAAATACCTCATTCAGTATACTTTGGAATACTAATGGCAATAGAATGATTATACACAGGCCGAACATACCAGATAAGATGCACCACGAAGCTTCCGTCATCTAGTTGTTCAATGGTATCAACGTGGTCTACTTTTTCGTCCCAATCCCAATGTTTAGGAGGGTTATAGACTTCGACTGCATCACTGTCATCCGAAAGGTTGGCCGGTTCCCTCGCGAATTCCTTTTTCTTCCCTTTCACTCGGTTTCCGTTGGGTGCCATTTGATCATTTTCGACTTTTTGAGTATTTTCGGCAGAGATATTGCGAGATCTTGTACCCTTTTCAGTGAGTGTCGAGGTCGGAGAAGGCGGAGATTGTTGGTGTTGTTGATTGATTTTAGCATCAGCACTCAGTTTCGCTTTTTTAAGTGGTGGAGATTTTCGACTGTCGGAGATATTGACTTCTTTCCCTGTTGATGACACTGGTGATTCTTCATATTCTGACACTGAATGGCGACGGTTGGTGGGACTTGCACCATTTAAGACATCTTCGTCCTTCCGCTGACGAACAGAGTCCATACTTATTTTATCAGCACCGTTTACAGATTTTTGATATTCAAGCAGGAGTTCCGGAGCTAATCTGGAAGATATAGCACCAATCAAAAGATTAACTCTGGGAAGCGCCATGAATATACTCCCAAATCCATAAATGGAATAAACGTACAAATCTTCAGCACGGACCCATGAATTGTCCTCATCAGGATACCCTTTCCACTTGACATAGTATTGCAATTTTCCCTAAAAGAATAAACAATCATCAACACATAGCAAAGGAACATGTTACTCGGATATTCAGCACAGAGTAACAAGAAATCCCGACGATTCTTTCTGATAATGAAAACTCTTTACGAGAAAGAACAGTACCCTGAATTTCCGGTGCCCAAGGATAGACTCGATCTCGAACTCTTCCTCGCCACCGACATCCCCACTTCCGGCTTCACGATCTGAGTTACGCTGTTGAGTTTCCAAAGGTTTTCCTTCTATGGGTTGGGAGCTTTTAGAAGGCGAAGAGAGTTGTCGTGACGGGGAAGGATGCGGTTTGTCGGATGGGGAGGATGCTGGCATTTCAGTGTCAGCTTCAGAGGGGCGGGCAGCGCGGAAAATATTTGGGAGTATGGAGGAGAACAGTTTGGCTATCTGGAGTCTCTGAGGAGGGAATTCGCTGAGGCGAGATGAATGGATGTGGGTGTAACTGGAGCGGAATAGAAAGAGGGTCAGATATAGATCTGGATTCGATCGGATTGAATGGGGTTGCTATATTGCTATATTGGTATTTGGTATTTATCAATGAATCAACACAAGCAGGTTGGAAGAGGACACGGGCAGTGAATCCGGTGAGCGCGTGAACCAAAGCTACAATGCATTTCAATTTTCATTACTCTTACCCTTAATGAATTGATGCATTAAATTCTCAATATCAGCAAGTGTAGCTGGAACTTTGTCCGTATTATTCCGACTCTTTAAATTTATTATAACAGTGCTCAGTCAATCTAGCAAATTAAAATGAAACCACCAAGCCAAATCCGTTGCCTGCGCCACTGCAATCTGCATCCAAGGACTCGTCGAGGTGGCGGCTGACAAATTTTCTGTTCAGTCAAATCTTAAAAGTGGTCAAAAGTTGAACCAATTTTTCATCGATTACTTTGTTCTTTAACAACAAGGGTGTTTACTGATGTCGTCTAAAAATGGCGATGCTAAGAAAGATTCTAACAAGAATGCCTTCAGAATTGACACTTCGGCCATAGAGCAGGCCAGCATCAATGATCAACCTTCCGAGCTTCAGGAATTGTCTGATCTACTCGGCATCGGAGTTTTCAATCAAGATGACTTGGAACGTGGGGTGATGCAGCAGGTATATTAGAAAGCTGTTGATAACGACGATGAGACGGAGAAATGGGAAGAGGATGCACCCCGTACATCTGGCCTGAAGCTAACCAACCTATATCTTGGTCATCATGACGTTACAATTTATGTAGGTTGACAAACAACTCGTAGAGAGGGACAACGCAAATGATGAACGCCGATTGCAAAAAAGTAGATCTGAAATCAGGTAATCTGCCACTTTTTAAGCGACGATCATGGAAAAGCCCACCGATTACCTTTCATCAGCTCGATTCGCAACAAATTATCACTGATTCAATCAAGGCTAAACAATCCCAGCTCAAAAGTTTCGGAAAAAATAATACTAAAAGAACGAATACAGTCGTTGGTATGGACGCTAGATCAGATGCCTGATTGACAACATTAATTAATCGTTGACCCGTTTCAGAACACCCATTTGAAAGAATTGCAACAAGACGAGAAGCAAATTCTTGACAGGATAAATGAACGTAACGCTAGCGTGGATGGTAGTACTTGACAATTTCTCATCATGATTAAAGAAGTAGCATCAATCTGACATATATCCATCGCAGGGAGATCGGCACCTGTTGAAAGTGAAAGGGACAGATTAATCAGAACCGGCAAAATTACGCCATTTACGAACATCGGCATAAGTAGGTTGAACTTACGTAAAATCACTTTTTGACATTGATGATGCTTAACCAGGAACAGACAATAGCGAGGACCTTCAACAAGAGCACCTTTCTCCAGTAACTACAAGAGAGAATGATCAAGAGTTACCGGTAGACACGGGCTGTCGCACGGAATCTGCAGATTCCGATTCGGACGGCAGCGCTCACAATTTCTACGAGAGCCAGCCCATCAGGAAACGAAGACGACTAACCAATAGAAAGTCAGGAAGACTGCAGGAAGATTCGGACGCCGAATATACCCCACCAATGCGTAAAACACCCGCAAAAGAATCGAAAGTGCCGCGGGGGAATGTCGAAGAAGAAGACAAAGCACTTGAATCGGATTCTATTGTTCGAGATGCTGAGCTTTATGTGGAGGACGAAGTTGAGGAAGAGTATTTAGATGACGACGTATCTTCCGACGATTTGGATGACGAAACAGAATCACAAAAAAGGCACAGAGTACAGCATTCCTCGACGCATTACGACGACGGCGACGAGCCGCTCTACCAAAATCGTCTTTTTAACTGGGCTAGACGTCGCTACATGCTTCGGCATCGTGCCTCGGGCACGCACATTGAAGAAATGGATGATATAGACGAATTCACAGATCGCTATCCAGATTTTGATCCGGAGGAAGAGTCTCATCTACCTTCGCGCCATGGGGAAGTCGCACTTTCTGATGCTTTAAAAATCCCTTGTGAAATATACGATAGTCTCTTTCAGTATCAAAGAACGTGTCTAACATGGTTGTGGGAACTTCATTCGCAAGAAGTGGGTGGGATCATTGGCGATGAAATGGGTTTGGGCAAGACTGTGCAAATCGCTGCGTACCTTTCCGCCCTTCACTACTCGCGTTTGATGGTAAAACCGGCGTTAGTCGTTTGTCCAGCAACTGTCATGAAGCAGTGGGTCAAGGAATTTAGAAGGTGGTGGCCACCATTTCGATGCGTAGTGCTACACTCAAGTGGAAGCGGGGCGAACAGATTAGGTACTTGGACGTCTCGAAATAGTCAAGATGATTCTGACAGTGAAGAGTATGATTACGGATCACCTCCAAGGAGAAAAACTTACAAAAATGAACGGAACTGGGCGGATCAGGTAGTAAATAGAGTGTTTGAAAAAGGTATCTCTTCCTTACGAGACAATCTTTATTTATTTTTAATACATATTGCCTTTTCTCGTCTGAACAGGTCATATTCTGGTAACAACGTATAGCGGCCTGCGCACATATCGTAGTCAGCTACTTCACCGCGAATGGTCATATGTAGTTTTGGACGAAGGGCATAAAATACGGAATCCCGATGCTGACATAACGCTAACATGCAAACAGTTAAAAGTAAGTCTAGCGCATCCCTACCATACGGGGATTATACCTTGTGTTATTCATGTGATATTCCATACATAATTATAGACTCCGCATCGAATTATCTTATCTGGCACTCCTATACAAAA